CGTGTCGCTCTAGCTCTGGAAGCTGCCGCAACTGCAGCGGCTGCTGCTGCCGATGCTGCAGCTCAAGTAGCAGCAGCAGCAACTCGCCAAGCTGCGGAGAAGTCAAGTAATGCTATTGCTACGGCCGCTCAACGATGCCAGGAGGCAGCTGCTTCCGCGGCTTCCTCAGCAGTTGCTGCTTTTTCAGCAGCAGCATCATCAACCGCTGACTCCATCGCTTCAACTGCTGCTGCAGCTCGTGCTGCGATTGGAGAAGTCACAGGCGCAGCAACACAGAGACTAATAGAAGCTGCCAAAGCTTTCGAAGATACGATTGCAGCAAAGACAGCTGCTCTGGAGAACGCTTTGCTTTGGAGGGAATCTGCCAAGTCCCCTGATAGCGAAGGCAGCAGGAGCCGCCGCAGCAGCAGCAGTAGCAGCAGCAGCTTCTTCGGATACCGGCGTCGCAGTTCCTCGCAGCTGAGCAGCAGCAGCAGCAGAAGTCAAAGGTGGGGTCGCAGGTCTTTTTTGCACTACTTTTCATCAGACTATGAACGAGAGGGTAGCCAAGGTGGGGCCCCCGAAGTTCCACTGAACAGTGCTGATACAGTGGAGTCAACAGCAACAGCAGAAAAAAAACTGACAGGCGAGGCTGCCGTTGCTGCTTTTCTCTCTGCCTGCGAGGAACCGTTGGAGGGAGAGGGAAACACGCGACCCGACCAGAAATATAAGGCAGCAGCTGTAGCTGCAACTGGCACCGTCCCACGAAAAGACAGTGTCGATGCAATTGTTGCTGCTGCTGCAGCGGAAGCAGCAGCTTNACTGGCACCGTCCCACGAAAAGACAGTGTCGATGCAATTGTTGCTGCTGCTGCAGCGGAAGCAGCAGCTTGCGAGGCTCTCGCGAAGCAGCAGCTGAACTACCAGTACGAGGGCAGTGGTTCCTATAGTCCCTCCGGGTCAGATACTCCCGCTATAGCAGCGCCGGCAGCAGAGGGGGAAGCAGTACCAGCAACAAGACAAACAAGAACAGCAGCGAACGGAACAGAGGCAAACCTCAAAGTTTCATTACTGGCAGCGACAACAGATTGCCCTTCTTCACCAGCGCCGGAAGCGGCAGCACCACCAAACACAGCAGAGCTAGCGCCGCCAGAGCCGTGTGAAGATACGGAGGACAAACAACCGCAGCAGAAAATGCTGCAGACCCAAGCCAGGCACACCTCTGCCCCTCCGCCTGACCTGAACGAACTGCAGGAGTACGAGCACTTGGAGGTGCAGCAGCACGATCTGGGGGACAGGGATGCGAAGGAGTTGGGCAGACAGAATATATCTGGAGACGGGGGAAACTGCAGTGAGGGCAGTGGCAGTAAGATGAGCAGCAGGGGCGGTGACGTGAATAGTAGCAGCAGCAGGCCCCCTTGCGAACTTGCGGGGACCTCCTGCAGCAGCAGACTGCAGTATAGCGGTGCATGTGAAACGAGAAGCAAAACTGATAACAACAGCAGGAGAAGGGAATCTCGGTCTCTGCTGGAGTGTAGACTTGACGAATTTCTTGAACAGTGCACTGCAAGCCAGTCAGACGGTCCTGCCTGCAGCTGCAGCAACTGCAGCAGCAGCCAAGGGGTGTCAGGCCTGCTTCCGTTCAGTTTGCATCGGCCACACACACTGGTGAGTACTTCGTCTGCAGCACGATCACCCTTGGAAGATATACTTTATTCTTTTGGGGCGTTTTATTCTGACGACGAGGGCCGTGTCTGGCCTTTACCTGTTAATGGTCTCGCAAGCCAAGTGCTTGCTGAGTGCCCACATTTCTCCATTCCGACAATATCTCTTGATCAGGAAGTTTTAAACAAGCGTACTTTATATGAAGGAGATAAAGAAAAAATGAAGCGAATCATTTCAATGACTCCTTTCGCATGCATCGATATAACCGATCTGCTACTGCTGACACACTGGATGGACGACCCCCGGATATATGTAAGCTGCCGATGCCGGTGCTGTGCGAGATTACTGCTGTTTCTTGAACAGAGCTGTTCTTGTTATTCTGTTGCTGCTTTGGTTTTTTGCTGCTGGCGTGCTGCTGAAGTAGCTCTCGTTGCTGATACTATACATAACGTAAGGAACTACCAAACCAGCGTTCTGTTTTTCTTTTTTCTGCTGCAGACACGATTCGCCGGACTGGAGTTAGCTGCTTCTACACTGGAACAGCCTGAAGATTTCACTCTCCTTCTTGAAGTGCTGGAGAGTCTGCAGGAGGGAGATATGTTGAGTTCCTTGCTTCTGTTACGCATCACGGGATACAGAAACGCTGATCTGATGCCCTCTCTTTCCCCCGAACGACAACGCCGCATCCGTGAGCTGCAACAGTCAGCTACTGCTGAGTTCCGCTCTCTTCGCTGTGAAGCGCCAGGTGCTTTTGCTGCCACCGAAACTGCGGGGCAAACAAGAGGGAGGGAAGCTACTATCAAGAGAAGCATGCAATGCAGCAGCAGCAGAAGCGGGAGCCATAGAGGCGTCGACAGTAGTGCGAGTGTCAGCAGCAGCAACAGCAGAAGCAGACGACNAGAAGCGGGAGCCATAGAGGCGTCGACAGTAGTGCGAGTGTCAGCAGCAGCAACAGCAGAAGCAGACGACGCGTGAACTCTAGCTCGTGGACTGAGGAGCCGCTCTACGTGCCGCCAATGCAGCTGCAGAGAAGCTTGAGAGCGCTGTGTCGTTTGCTTCCGCAGCTGCAGCGGCTGGAGTTGCTGGCCCCTAGGATGAGAGAGTACGAGTCAGAACGGGCATGTGATGATGGAAGTAAAGTAAAAGCAACAGGAACTCCCGTTTTCTCGACATTTAATCGGGTACTCTCCTACATCAGCCCTTTCGCTGCACTGGCTCGGACCATAGGCTTCCAGCTGCTGAACATTAGGGTGACGGAGCTGCTGCAACAGTGCGAAAATTGCAGCGGCCAGCTCATTGTAGATGGACGAGGAGGATGCGGGAACTACAGTCGAGGAGGCGAAGACCCCAACACGCAGAAAGGCAACAGAACGCTGCACATAAGTAGGGATAGCACTACTGACTGCTGGGATGAATCGTCTGTGTCCAATCCAGAGGAGGAGAACATCTCCTCTACAATTTTCAAGAGAACTGTTTGTCTGTCTTGTGATGGCGTTGATCCAGCACTTGCTGGCCTTGCTACGACAGCTACTATGGGCAAGCAGTACGAGTGGCAGCAGTTTGTGCTGGACTCAGCTGTTTTTTCGAGGATAGAGCAGTTAGCTGAGTAATAGTAGACGGTTGCCAGTGCAGAAAGCAGAACTGCATTGAATCAGGCCTGCCAGTGAGCAGATAAAATGCTGTAGGACAGGGAGAGAGATGTGATCTCTGCTGCATCTATCATCTGCTTCGGCGGCCTTCGTCTTTTCTGCATATGCGCTTCGTTTTAGACGCCAACCACCCGCTTGTGTGGGCGTTGCTAACGCACATTAGTTCCCCCTCTCGCGCTGTGTGTGCTGCCGATTGATACTTCGGCTTAATGTTTTTTTTGCATTTCNCATTAGTTCCCCCTCTCGCGCTGTGTGTGCTGCCGATTGATACTTCGGCTTAATGTTTTTTTTGCATTTCTTCTAGGCGTACCCACCTGGATTCAGACTGAATCCTGAGGCGAACGCCAGAGATTCAACATTATTTTCAGAGGCTAAAGAGTAACGAGACACGAAAGTTCACTCTTTGTTGACAGTGACGGGTATTTTCCTGCCCCTCTAACTAAGCACGTGCTACCAAACAAGGAGCCCCTGAAGAGCCTAGAAGCGTGCCTAGTTTGGATGCTGGTTATGGAGCGCGCAGCAGACTGTATGCTGCCAACAAGCAAGAATGTCACGGACGAAAAATTAGACATCTAGATAGTTGTGTGCGTTTCTTCCTTCCAATAGCACATGAAGGAACTTACAAACGTTGGCTATCCGCCGTAGAAAGCATAACGTGCGCCTTTTCGGCTGGATACGGTGCAGTGTCTGTTGGATAGCATGAAAGTTCTCGAAGCACACGAATGTGACTGTAAACAGCTAAATACAATTTTTCATCAGGTAGGGGTGTCGTAGCTCCCTGCTATCTCAGAGTCTGAAGAGTCTTCAGCACCATTTTCGGGTGGTTTGATACCTGTAAACCCAGGAACACAACAGCACAATTAGGGCCTCCTCACTTGAACCCAGTGCGGCGAGAGCTCGACCTGATGCTTACAGGACTAGCGCTCCTTTTGGGGCTTTCCCCATGCGTCTGTTTGGTTTCAATGCCTAGTATGTAGGTGTGCATTGTCACCATCTCTGCCCTTTTACACTGCCTTTCAGTCTTTATTTAGCCCTCTACAAGGCAATCTGTGAGTGCGGAAGGTCTGCCTCTCCATCTGCCTCCTGCCTATGCCGTGTATGCGGCTCTCTGCTATCTGCTTTCGTCCGTTCCCGTGTTCGACCTAAGTAGTTTGTGATCCTCTAGTTGACTAACCCAGTTGATCCCTTGCTTCTTGTATTTTTCTCTGTCTGGTCGTTTCAGCCCTCGTGAGGGCCTTGGAGGTCTTGAGGGTGCGGAGTGCCTCGTCTCGCGCCGTCGCCAGTTTCTGCAAACGCTGCACAAACAGGCGCAAGGAGAAAAAGACAAAGTTGTCTTGGTACAGGAACCATAAGCAAACATATATTTCAGAACAAAATACACGTCTTCATGAGGGGCATGTTCCTCGCTCTGACGCCAACTCTTCGTGTATCTGTGCCCATCATCTTTCTGGAGCGCTCTGCCTTCAGATATGTCAATTTCATGAGGAATTGCTTGCATGAATAGCTGCTGAAGATGAAGGTACAAGCACGGGCACAGATGAAGGGTGACAGCCGAATAGCTGCAAGTCACGCAGTTTTCGACACAGGCAAAGCTGCACAGGAGATGGATGCGGAAAGCTCCAGAAGTGTTAAGACAACGACGACTGCATCCTTGCAGTGCAGCTAATTTCAAGTTTCTCAAACTCTGCACTGCTACAGAGCCTGCTGTTTCTCGTCGCCTAGCGTCACCGGCTCCTTGCGAGCCGCATATTTGGATATTGGTGTTTCTCTGACCTCATGTCGTCTCTTCTCGAATTCCGCGTCACCTTCGAGGCCAACAGCGTCGTCTGCGGAGTTCGTCCTCCTACAAATGCACGTGTTGCCCATCGTCAGACAAATTACAGTTGGGGATGCCGAACAAAGGAAGGCAGGAAGACGAAAAGGCGAACAGAGGAAGATACCGAGACTATATCTGGTAAACCCTTGAGGCGATGAGGGAGGACAGAGACTGCCCCGCGAGCTAGCACAGAGGGAGATGGACAAGGAGAGAGAGGAAGGCGAAGACAACACAGCGGTGGGCCAACAATATAGCAGAAGAATCAAATACTCAAGAGTCTGTGCTTCAACTTCATCTTAAAACGAGCAGGACCAGGCCGAGCACTAGCGGGGGGCACGGCGCCCCGTCCTTAACGACGACGATGGGTCTCAAACAAACGGGATCAAAATCAAACCCGTATTTTAATACCTCGAGAATGAGAAGAACAAGGAGATGCTCCGCCTTGTCCTGCTTTCCATGCAACACAAGTTGAGTCTGGCTAGCACACATGGAGCCGTGTACTCTGCTTACGGTGTGTGACCATGAGTGTTGCTGCATAAACTGCGGAGAATTAGGAAAACTCTTATTTTTATATTAATTAAAATGCATTATACTGGCAGATACACTTCCAGTTGAACGTTTTCTTTCTGGTTAGTTTCCCTGTTGCCTCTGAGCCGTGTGGGATGCAGTGGTAGTTGGGGGGAGGAGCGTTTTCTAGTTAGCTTGGATCAAGGTAGGATTAAAGCTAGTCTAAGACAACATTTTATGCGTTTGCGTGTATGTTAATGCATAAACTGTAGGAATGTTTCCGGATGTTCCACAAACGGCTTTGTTTTTATCAGGCGTCATTCCGAGACTATCATGCTGAATCGGCACAAGGTCACTTCTTCTCTATTGCTTTCACTCTCTTTAAGCAAAAGAGGGGAAGCTTTCCTGTAAGAGCTGTGTGTGGTATTTACACGACTCCAGCCCTACGGAGCCCATCCCCTACAAATAACTGGAGTCCTCGATCGTAGCACATGTCAGGCGCAACAGAACCAAAATACTTTGGAAAAGTGTCAACGATGAGCAGCTTTAACCCCCACCTCAGTCTTTAAGAACCCCGCTAATTGCGGAACAAAGCTCTGTGGCTGGTTCGGGGGAGAGGTACTCTGTCATCTGCAGCATACCTGGTGGCAAGTCGTGCTGCAAGGCAACACCACATGCAAGCGTACCAATGCCAGCATTCGATGCACGAGCTAACCAGATACACACTTGTTAAGCACTTTTTTGGCCCTCAGGATCCAGGCTACGAGCAAGTAGATGTGCATATTATTCTTGCAACTTGAGGGCATAGGGTTCATGCTAGGTGTGCGCGCTTGTCACCAGAATGCTCTCTGTTGAGTTTTCTATATCCACAATATATATAATACAGTGACTGTTGCATCTAATTTGATTCTCCTCGTCGCTCCCCGTTACGCAGGTGGTCGCGGTCTAGCTTCCTCGCCCGCGCCTGCGGTTGCATACATTCGATTGAACGTTGCAGAAAATCATTTGGTGCTTTTGGATCGTTCCACTCCCGATGTAGTTACCTGTTTAGTTCTATGTTCACCTCTCTAGAGTAATCCTTTGCAGTCATAATGTAGACCTCAACATCTATTTAGGGTGGCTACAACCGGCGATCCTGTTTCAGAATACACTTTGTACTCCGCACAGGAATGACGTCACCTGAATTTACCTAGTTTTCTTCTTGCATCTGAAGGTCGTCGTCTGCTAGGGCCTAGGGGTCCCGTTGCGGTTCTCGCTAGAGTTGAGTGATCCCGTCTGTGAGAAAAGTTAGGTGGCTGCTAAGAGAGCGAG